CGAGATATGACTTGTTCAAATAGGAAGGGCACACTTTGGACCATCTGTCGTCAAAGGCATCCTTGGTGTTTCATTCAATCGTACAAAGTGATGGAAGTAATTAAGAAGAAGTTTAAACTCTGCTTACTTCTTCATTTCCGCACACCTGGTCAGTCTGTGCATGAAGTGGCTGTGAAAGTTACAGAACTTGTTGGATACAGCCGACACCAGCTCCAACATTGGAAAGGTGTCGGGGGACTCCAATGGATTAAACTGGCAGGGTGGCTGACAGCTCTGTGAACTTCTGTCAGATTTCAACCGTCCCAGTTAAGTGTGGATTTCCTTTGGCAGTTCAGAGGAAAATTAAAATGATAAAAAGCAGATGGTTTCAAAATATTGTCTGTCAGGAGTTAAGATTCAGTCTGTACTAAACTTTAAGTTCCTGTGAGATTCTGTGATTTGGAAAATCACAGAGATCACTTAACAGCACTCAGACCTGAGAAGCCTTGGCTCTTTTAATGATTATTTCACATTTCACCCAAAACATGCCAATTTGAGTGCTTGAATTTCAAACTAAACCCTAAAAAAGTCATTAAAATCGGCTGTAAATCAATTTCTGTTATTGTTAGAACACTTAAAAGACAATAAAATCCTTCATTAGTCATGTTGCATTTTCTCTCTGTCACTGTGTGGGTTTCATCAAAGCGTTTTCCTCTTTGTGTTTTTGCAGCCGCTGCTCTGGGGAACCTGGTTTCAGATTTGGCAGGTCTTGGGTAAGCAGCTTTATAAACAGTCTCTAAGGCTTCAGTTTTATTTTTGAGGGATCAGCTTTTATTTTGAGGAAAATGTTTAAAGTCTATTGAAGACAGGTGAAGGTTAGAACAGTTCACGGTACAGTCAGTGTTTGCTGCATTTTTAAATGGAAATAGTGAATGATAGGTGAAAGTTTAATTGTGTGGTATTGTTTGCTGTTTGTGATCTTTTTTTAATTTATTTTTTGCTTCCTGCAGTTTACTCATACATGCTATTAGTATATTTTGGTGTGTTTCATTTTATTCTTAGGAGCACCTAGCAGTGTTTTATACATTCAAACTGAATACATTTGTTAAGTTATACTTTTTTGATTAGGAAAGTTAGATAAAGCAAACAGACATACACAATAGGATGGTAAGTGATTGTTAATATAGCACAAAAATCTATTTACACACGTGTGCATGTAGTCTTGCAGGTTATGTGGAGGCTCTGGCTTCCAAACTGGGGATGCAGGGTCCAGATCTGACGCCCAAACAGGCGGACATGTGGCAGACCAGGGTCAGCTCTCACATGGTGAGATTTTAATCTTTTCTGAGCAATTTATTTCTTTTTATTATATAGCCAATAGGAGGGAGATGGCAAATGACAACATCGGTCCCCAGCTGAAGTCAAACAGCTGATGTCGCAGTTTGTAGTCGGTGCCCTCTAGGCAACCAGGGTGCTTTTATGTGTGCCAAATGTTTAATATCTCCAGTAGCAGTTAACAGATACCATTAACAACAAGCAGCCTTCAGCCATATTTCTTAGGCATGAAACTATAGGAAACTGGAGCAGGAAGCTGCTGTTGGAGGAGGCACATCAGAGAAAATGTATAATAATGAGTATCCAATCAAAGGAAGCAGAGAGATGGTCATTATCAGCAATCTGCATAAAGTACTGTAACATCAAATGTATGAAAAGCAGATCTGGAGATTACAGCTTAACAGGAGGCAGCACCTGCAACTTATGAGCTAAAACTATCCCAGTGTCATCTGAAGTATGCATTTTGCCTCAGAAAACACATCAAAACACTTGTTCCAGCATCATTCCAAAATATGTTTCAGAAGGTTTGTGTCTCCTCTGTATCACTGCCATCCAGGACCCTAACAGGCTGCTCTTCCCAACCTGACTGCAGCAGTTGCTTTATTGCCCAGAGCATGATGATTTGATTTCCTGTCCTCCTCCTGCAGGGTAAAGCCATCGGAGTGTCCATCGGCTGTATTCTGGGGATGTTCCCGCTGTTTTTTCTGGGTGACGATGATGAGAAGGAGAAAGAAGCAGAAACCTGTGACACAGCGTCACATTCTTCCTAACAAGCTATTACAGCTACACAACACAGTGACACCTACAGACTGGATACTGCTGATGTCAGAACAAAGTATTTGCCGTTGGCTGTTTCTCTGTCCTCTGCTCAGGCAGCGTTCACACTCCCTCACTCTCCAAACCCTCTACAGCCGTCTGTGTAAACTTCACTGGCTGATGATGATATTTAGCTCCACCACTTCCTCTGAAGCACCGAGCGGTGGTATTTTCACACTGCCTGCTCTCCATCAAGGCACGCCGTCTGTTAATTCAATATGTCAATTTAATTGGAGGTCTCATTAAAAGTTTTGTCGAGGGATGGGCGCAGGAGGAATCTCATCAGTTATGATTTTATCATCCAATCATTCTGTTTGCTTCTGGTTTTATCATTGAGATGTTTATCTGACATTTCGACACGTCATTTACCATTAGCACAAGTCAGGAACGGTTAATAAAGTTTGCAGACTGACTCAATCATGTCAGTTGCACAGCAAAATCTATTAATATTGTTCATTTAGAAGGAGCAATGCACCTGGATTTACACTGAGGTGCGTCAGTGTAATGTCGCCAGGGTTAGCTCAACAGCTCAGTTGCTCCGATGGTCTCTGCACAACTAAAACCTGACAAATGGATGAAAAATAAATCGAGTTTAAAACACTATAAATGATTCAAAGTTAATCTATAAAGCTTTTAATATCCATAAATATATATCTTAAATTTTTTTAACATGAGCTACAATTTGCCACTGTTGGTCATACCAGACCAAATAAGGCTGCGGCAACAAATATAAATCGTAATGTAAACTAATGTAACAAAAACACAATGATTCTTCTATTCAGGTCATTATACACTAATGAAAACACACCTATTAATACTAAATTCCATTTCTGCTTACAGATCCTCCTAAATGTTACACATGGGACCTTTTTTAAGCAAGACTGATTTCATCCTGGACTTCCAGCACCTCTGTACTCACTATACTCATCCTCATCAGAATGTCTTCCAGGAGAGACTCCATATTTTAACAATATCGCGTCTCTTCCGTCTCTATTACAACCGCCTTCAAGTGTGGCTGTTTACAACAACTATAAGTACTCTTGATTTCAAGCAGAACTCTGTCAGACACAGGAATGAAGCCACTTGTTTGACTGACAGTTTAATCCTTTAATTACACATGTTGCCAGCAAATAGAAGAGCTGCACCGATCTGATAAGCTGGATCGGTATCAGCCCCCGTTACAGGCCAGACGAGGGGAAATAGTTGGTACAACCCTAATGAAAGCATAACCTTACTGGTGCTTTTCCTCTCTTGCCTTTAATCAGTATTTTGCATGTTTTAAACCATCTAGTTGGCCACGTTTAAACATCTGCTACGGCTCAGACATCGGTTATTAATTAGAGGAATCGATGGCGTTGAGGCTAAATTATTCTTATAAATGAGGTGATTTGGTTGCCAGTTGAAACCAGTCTTGAACTTCCATCTTAAGTTGTGAGACTGCACAGAAGCCTGTTGCGAACGCTGCCTGAGTAGCTTCCGAGATCGGACGAGCTCACCCGTCTCAACACCGTCAGACAACAGCTGTGATTTGGATTCTTCCTCTTTGTAAATGTCAGCCTCTGCTGCAGGGTATTAAACATCCTCTTCTTTCCCACAGAGGACTCCAGAAATCCAATTTCACTGTTTACCAACCAGCAGTATAGAAACTTCCAGGTGAGACCGGTGGTTGTTTCCCATCCCGACAGTAGAAACTCAAACTGTACGTACTCCCCAACTGTTCACGCAGTTGGAACACTATTTCAGCTTGAATGTCTTTTCTTTCTTTTTTTTTTTAAAATTCAAGTTAATTGAAAGAACAGCACATGATTTAAATTTGGTTATTTTTCTTCAGCAGATACTTTATACATTTAAACACTATTGTGTGAAACTATGTTTCTTGTAACTTCAGCTGAAACTGAGCAGAGACAAATATACAGTCTCTGCACTCCGGCAGTTAGGGTGTTGTGCATCTTTAAACTTTTACCAAAAAAAAAAAAAGTGTAAATACAAAGAAAAGGAACAGTGTCACTGCTACCTCGGTGGGAATATTTTAGGTGTTTTGCATGAAGAACCGATGTAGCTCTATAATCAGACTCTTTATTTCCATATCAGATGGTTTTTAATATGCTGGAATGTCCTCAGATGTTGAGTACGGGTTGATGAACGAAGGAGGCGCTATCTGGAAAACTTTACACGGATGTTTGCTTTCCAAGCTCTTTCTGTATTTCTGTGTTTTTCTGTCTGCACCATCTTCTTTTCTCTTTTTCACTGCTTTCTCTCTCATAGACACTTGACTTAAATCCAGCCGTCTGTGTAATTACTTTTTTAGCTCGTGTTTCATCAGACTTGAAGCTCCAGATTGTTGGGATTTGCCACATAAAGTGGAGTCCTAAACAGTTTATGCCATGACAAGTTCAGTTCAGTAGTTTTCAGTGATCTCTGTGACTGTGACTCCTTCTCTCTTTCTCTCCTCCTTAATCTTTCTCTTTCTCTCTCTAACACTGTTTTTTGTGATTGTTGTGAATCCAGTTGATCCTTTTCACCTGTTGAATCACTGGCTGCATCCTGAATCACTCCCTATTTACTACGTATTTAAGTGTCCAAATTAGGGTTGCAACGTAAAACCCAAAGATGTTCAATTTAAAATCAAATAGTAAATATAAGTATAGTAATATAGTAAATTGTAACATTTTTGGGAACTTTGGAACTGGATAATTTTTTTGTTTTTTGCTTGAAATGCTTCAGTTACACAAATTTAATTTGTTCTCTAGAGTAAGTAATTAGCTAAACATTTCTGTGCTAGTCTGAGTTCTCCACATTTATGTACTTTATAGTGCTCTCAAACAATCCCATAATGCAACGAAAAGTGTTTATAGCACTTCTTCCTGCTAACAATCCCAGCAATATGTCACTTTTATCTGACTCCAATTAGAAAATGGACTTATTGTTACTGCCTTTTATCAACAGGATTAGGGATTTGTACCTACAACAAGCTAATGAATGAGGAGAGAATGGCTGCCGTTAATTAACCTTCATAGTTAAATAATAAAGTAAGGTTACATTGTTACACAAAGGTTGACAATAATTAAATGTTTACTCGAGGGACCTCTAAATATTAGTGCCTTTTGTCATCTTCAAATCTCTGCACCTGCAAAAACGTATGAGCTCTGATATTATATGATATCAGTGCGTTTCTACCAGAGACGCTGTGGAGTGTCTGTTATAAAGGGGAGAGTGAGTGAGGGAGTGATTTCAGACGCAGCCACTGGAGCACACATCCACCAATAACACAACTGGTTTCCACACTTTATTTTCTACAAAGGTCATAATATATAATGGAAGGAGAACTGAGTTATTGAAAATTGCCAAAAACCATTGTAATAAAGATTGATTGAGCTGGTTTAAACCCTGCTGTTATTTAACAGATTGTGATATTTGCTGCAGGGATGATAGATGTTCATTATAGAGGGACAGGGACACTGAGCTCAGATCCTCCTCACGTCCTCCGATCAAAGGGAATTAAAGGCTTGAAAAAACAGCCAAACCTCCGAGTTCAGACCGACTGGTGTCTGACTGTTTAAACAATATTTTAATGAGTGTTTGGACTTGGCTGCAGAAGACATTTAGGTTTGTGACTGGATTAACTGTAAAAGCCTCGAGGGATTTCTCTTTTGTCTCATTAGAAGAGAAATTTCTCATGGAGAGCAATATACCATCTGTTTGAATAATGTCTTTAAGTTCTCACTAATTAAGTAATAACAAATGATATGTTTTTAGGATGCTGTTTATTACCGTGGACGACTTGTATGTTTTTGTATCATCTCATGTTTGTGTATTTTTTCTAAGAGGATGATGGTTTTCTTCTGGCTTGTGTGGTGAGCAGATTTTTACGTTTTATTTCCCTCCACTCTCGATGATATTTTGCATAATTTCATTCTCTGAAGAAAACAAATGAGAGTATATGAAGCGTATGAACTAAAGTATGTAATCTCTAGACGTCTGTGTTGTGCTGCCATCTTGTGGACAGTCTGAAAACAGCAGCAGCAGCTGTTGCGCACTGATACATGTATGTACTATAAAACCAGTGATGTCGAAGGATTGAATATGCAGTATGCATTTTGCAATATAATGTGCAATTTAAAATAAGATAATAAATTTGGGAGTGTTTACCTCTGGCTCTGCTGTACTCTGAAGATTTGTTCTTGTCTTCTCGTTCCTCACTGACAGCTGAAGCGCTCATGAGCAAGGCAGTAGAGCTCCAGTCGCTCCTGAGTAAGGAATGCTGAGGTTGTTCTGATCCAAGGTCAGATTGTGTGCTGAACAGTGGTGGGATGTAAGTGCATTCACTCAAGTACTGTTCTTATGTGCAGTTTGAAGTATTTCCATTCTACACTACTTCTACTCCACTACATTCATCTGACCGCTTTAGTCGGTAGTTATGTTTTACATAGAAAATAATAAATATGTTCATATGATATAATGCATGTAATATAGTACTATACTAAAACGCATCAGTATCACATAAAGGTATATTGTTATATCGAGATATTTTCACGTTATTATGACATACAAACTCATATAACAAGACACTATTGTTATAATAATATACTATTTATCATGTTATAATGTGATTAGTGGTGTAACTTATTTTTCTAATGTGAAACTCATGTTTGAAATTGTGCTGAAAATGTATAAATTGAGGAATATGGCTCATTTACATGATTTGATTAAGTTCTGCTTCACGCTTAGGTTGAGATGTGGTGAGATTTAGTTGTTACTGAGCGCGGTGGATGACACTGATCAGGATTTTAAAATGTGTGGGCCTGTACAGAAGGAAGAATGAGTTTGAGCCTCAGGGGCAGTGTCATTTCTCATTGAACAGCCCCATGTTATAACAATAAAGTTATAACATGAAATATTTCACGTTCTAACAAAAGATTCTTGTTTGTACGTCGTAATAACGTGAAATTATCTTGTTATAACAAACTTTTCACGTTATAATGTGATACTTACAATATAATATTCTATAATATAAGATTGTGAAAGGAGCCATTTTGCGAATGAGAAAACTTGGAGGAACTTTTATCTTGTGTTGGCGGCTCCTCCACTGCCTTGTTTCATTGATTTCAATGGGAAGCCGACCTACACTGTGGTGGCTGACATTAAGAATAACTTCACAGAATAGCCAATCTTCTCCCTCGTGGTCTTGTGTGTTTATGTAAGACCTATAGAGGCTTCAGTATTAAACTGAGACTCTTTCATAACCAGTTAAAAACTCCCTGTAGTAAGTTTAAATACATTTAGTGGATTATACACTTTACAGCAGGTTTTAATTTAGAATATAACAGAAAGAATACAGTGAAAATATGAGTCATTTTAAGTATTAAATAACTTTATTAAGGGACAATCAAACATTCTTTCAGCTATTGGACCAAAGTTGATCAGTAATCAATATTACCAATCCTAAACTCACAGTCAGACTAAATATTTCCTACTATAGTCTGGTGACAGCTGAGAAAATGAAACAGTGATCTAAAATATGTGTCAGTGGTATCGTAGACAGTAAGAAAACACAAAGCACAGGTGTCGTTAGTCATCGGATGCACATCGTATGCTACGATTTTATTATTTAGCCAAAACAGCTGGTATACATAGAAAATAGGAGACAGTTAGTATTCAGGAACATAAAAACAAAGTACAGGATTCTCAGGAGCCGGAGGTAAAGAAACCCGTCAGCCCACAAATAAAAATAAAAAACAGGTTGCCATTACTTCTAGTACCACAGACAGGACTAATAGAGAAGTCTGATACCCTCTGGGTAATGAAGTTAAAGTGCCCCTCTTATACACTTAAAAATGTACTTAAAAACTGTTTTATGGTCGTTTTTCAGCAAGAATCCTCAAACGTTCAGGAGCAAATATGACTGAAATTAGATGGAAAGTCCGTCTGTCCACTTAGCTTTAACTGTGATGTGTTCAAGGCTGGTGGGAAATTTCACTGTCTGAGTTGACGATTTTACATTCATGTGCTGTTTTGATAAAAAATCAAATAAAAACAAAGGAAACTTTATTAGTATGTCAGCTAGAAATTACAAAAAAGTCACTTAATCACGTAAGTCATGTGAGCATGAGTCATTAATATAGTTAGTGCTGAATATTCGACTATATGTTTGTCTCTGTTGCATTGATAAATAATTATATATTTTATATAATATCAGGATCAGGGCAAGTTCTTCCAAAAGCAGATTATTCATTCATGTTTCCCTGGTGTCTGATGTAAATTTCCAACCTTTTGGCCATACACACACAGAGGAACAAATGGAAAACATAACCTTATTAGAATCTTATCAGAAGGGCAATTAATTAGAGAATTGCATCATCATCACATATTAACATTTTTGTATCTTTGGGGCATTAATACTGCACTTTTTTTTTTTTTTTTTTGCTACTAGACTCCAAACTCTCTGTGGCTCTCAGATTTTAATAACATTTGTCTTGACTGTGGGAAAAGTAGGTAATGAAATATAAGAAATGAAAAACTTAATTCTTGCCCTGGTCCAGAACTGTAATAAAATCCTGTACAGTATGACAGTAGTGAATGGCAATGTTTAGAAAGTTGGACATTTCAATCAGTCAGTGGCTTATAAAAGTTGTTTAAGAGGTTGAAAATGCAATCTGACGAGATGATAGGAAATGTGTGAAAAAGAATGTCAGGAGGGTGCAAACTAACAAATATAAACCAAAATGAGACATTTTTGGGTCATAAAATCATGTTTTTGTTACTGTGCATCCAGCTGCCATCAGTTACCTACCATTCAGTGTGAAATGTATAATGTGGACAACCAGTAAGATGATACTGTATGTAGTATGAGTCTGGGATCAGGGCTACATTCATTCCAAATGAGATATATTCCCTACTTTAAACTTACTCCCTTACTTTAGAGAAAAGTGTCATTGTAATGTGGAGAGAAAGTAGTTGCATCAAGTGACAATTTTATCCAGATAGGTAATATTTACCTCTGAAAGGCAGATTCTGAAACAATTTCAGAAGTAAGAGAAAGAAAAGCAGGGCATCATTTAGCATATACTGTAGGAAATTTGGCAACTTGTCTCAAATTAAGGACTGAACATTAAAGTACGGGGACACACTGACAGCTGACCTTACTTACAGCTCAGAGACAAAAATGGCCTCCACACACACTGAGGACTGATGATTTCTGATCTAACTTGGATCTAGAATGATATTATTTTACCTATGTATTGTGTAATGTTTGCCATAATGATTTTCTGTGATTCCTGATAATCACTTGTCCAATCCTCAGTGTGTGTGTGTTAGCGTCACTCAGATCTTGATAACACAGTTACTGAGTCTTCACAGGCTCGAACATTCAGCTTCATACGCTTGTTATCGCATCAGCTACACGATTGTATTCGTTAACCTGCACTTAAAAATGAACAGGGTGAAAACAGATATAAAACCGACAGGCTTCAGTCATCATACAGGGAGTCAAACTGCTGTCACACAGAATATGAAACATTAATGATCCCTGTAGGGAAATATAAGATGACGGACAGCATCTAAAATGCACTCTGGTCCGGTAGAGACAGACCAACTGAGGGGGAAAAAGTAGTTCCAGTAGAAAAAAAGCAGACTATTAAATCTTATGTTCAACAAAAAAAAAACAACATGCATATTAAATATATTTGTTAATACGTTTTATATGCTCAACAGGACATTTGGGAGTTTAGACATATTTAAAGTCACAAATAAAAAGGATGAAAACATTAAAATGAATAAATACATAAATAATTTGACTTTTAATGACACTCTATTAAAGTATTTAGTAGCAACAGGGAAGTTATGTCTATTTCAGCTGGTTACGCTAATTTACCCGCTAACACGTTTAGAGTTTTAGCTCATCGGGCTATTTGACATTTAGAAATTACAAGCTTTTACAGGTTTATATATTTGTTGCAGTCGTACATGAACATCAGTGCACAGCGGGATACGCTTGTGTTCTGTTGTAACCACAGCTAAAAGAGGATTTTCAGTTGGGTCCATAATGGAGGTCTATTAGAGATTTAGCTCTCTGCTAGCTGAAAACACCAAAGTGTCTGTAGAAATGTTCAAATTGAGACAAATTGGATGTATGTTAATGCTAACTTCTGAATTTTACATTAGTTAATGGCCAAGTTAGATTCATTTAAACAAAATATTTGATATTTAGCTAACAATTAGCAATGTCTTTGTCTATAGTGGAGATTTGGCTTAAATGACTTCTTGTAAAGTGTCTGTAGAAATATTCTGTAAAATCTTCCTGAATTTGATTTGTTCTTATGCTACAATGATAGTGTCTGAATTTTGCATTAGCTAAAGGACAAATTAGATGATTTTAAACAAGATACTGAGTAATACTTTATATGGATAGTCCGCCTACTTCAGCAGCTTATTAGTTGAGATTCATCAACCGTTTTCTGATATTAAGCCACTGTGGTTCAGGTTTGGTTAGGTTTAGACACAAAAAACATTTTGGTTAGAATATGTTCATCAATTGTCACATATATAGATAATGTGTCAAACATCTACAGATAAAACAAAAAAGTTTAAATGTTTATCTATCACTAGGTGGACTATCCAAATAAAGTGTTACCAAACAGTGAGCTAACAATTAGAGATTTACTTAAATGTGTTTAAGTAACTTGTCAAGCGACTGTAGAAAATATTCAGTAACATTCTCAAACAAACAAAAAAATAGAAAATTAGATTTGTTCTTGTGCTACAATGCTAGCTTCTACTAAGAGCTGTACATTAGCTTGTGTCCAATTTATGAATTTAACATAACAATTGGTTAGCTATCAAAAATATGACCTGAAACTTGAAATGTTCTTTGAATTCTGTTGACCAATATGCATATTAAGGAATGTAATCAGCTGAAATCACGCTAGAGAGCTGAAGACCTCCAACATGGCTGCCAGACGGTGTTTAAACCACCTGAAAAACGCTCTATATACTGGACATTTGGTATTTGATGGCTAGTAAGCACAGACAGATTAGGACTAAAGCAAGCTATTTTCCAGACCAGATACCCGTTTTCTTTTTCCAAATGTTCACTTTATAGTGGCTTCTTGGTCATTTTCCATTTACATACTGGGACAGTGAAGTAGCAGTCTCTTGGTTGTCATTGTAGTAGGGGTAATACTAAAAAATATGCTCATCATCAATTAATCTGCCACTTATTTTCTCAATCACTATGTCTAGAGAATGTCAAAATTGATATTGCTTGTCCAAAACCTAAAGAGATTGAGGTTCACATAAGACAAGGAATGGCAGCAAATGCTTGCATTTGAGAATCTGGAACCACTGAATGTTTAGTACATTAAAATAAAACCATTCAGATGTCTGCAGCAACACTGTCCCAATACTGAAGCTCTGACTCGTCCACAACCGTTTCCATCTGTGCCAACTAAATACAACTCACCATCAGCACGCTGGCTTCACTACAACAGACCGATACACGATTCCACATTACTCCAATTACTATAGCTAAGTAGTAACACGGAACCTGTAGTAACAACCTCTATTACTACCATGGACTTGGAAGTGTATGCTAACACACTGTGTACAGTTGCTATATAGTTGGTAGATTAGCAACATGTTAAAAAGTTGAACAAAGGACGGAGGGGCTGGTGAACCTGGAGGCCAACAAAGTCACAGACAGGTCTGTCTGCAGTAATTAACAGCTATAATACCGGTCTTTGAGTCCATTTAAAGAAAATAAATGCTGTAAAAAATAATGCAGAAATAAAAAACAAATTACAAAAAGAGCAAATATGACCCACTATCAAACATACTCCCTATAATACCTTTTGATTTTCAGTTAAAAGACTCAAAGACAGGACATTGTTTTGTAGAGCAGACTGAATCTAGCAAGTTGTTGGCATCCGCAGTTCCTGATCCACTACTGCTGATCCACTGCTGGGACATGGGCTTAACTTGTTTTATAAAGCCAGAATGATTTGTTTATACTGGGGGGGGGGACTTTAAGAACATGCAGGTCAATCTACTGTATGTGGTATTAATAACTGTAACAACTAAAAGTTTAGTTGTGAATGGTTACACGGCACTCTTCAATATGCTACCCTACGTATACAAATACTCGTTCAGTTTGTGTTCTTTCTGTCTGTCTTTATCATCAAACACCCTAGCTATGTTTTTACAGAAAACAAAATCCAGCAATTAAATTATATTTAAGTTAAATTCAGCACACAGGCTTTTGGCACCTTTTAATGGAAATGGGAGACTACGGGGGCGTAAAAGGACCGTATGACCAACAAAACGTACAAACACATCAAAATATAAATATGTACATACAAATAATGATTTGATCTTTCGAAAATCATCCCTTCCAGTTCATTCTCACCTCTTCCAGAACTTTTCCCTACATCATCTACCGTCTCTTAATCCCAATACTACACGCATTAACATTTACTTAATGTTTCATTTAAGTAATTTCTGCTACAAGAATGACCTCGTACATCTCGCTATTGTTCAACAAGGATGTCCTTTCGCATTTTCTCTCTTATTTATATATATATACTAAAGTTGCCCAGGGGGAAATGATCTCGGATCAGCATCTGTGTTCCCAGTAGTATCTTCAGTGGGGAACTCAACTGGAATTAGCCAAGTGCGATACTGATAGTTGCAACCTGCAAGAGGCCACAGGTTGTTTTTGTTAAAGGAGAGAAGTGCTTCAGTCAGTTTCCCAAGCTAGAAAAATGAGTCTACTGGCAGGATTTAGATTCTCCTTCAACACTTTTCAAACAAGAAACGTCTCCCTTTTGCCCACATTTGTTTGAATTCAGAAACTCAAAAACCTTCATTTAAATTTGGCATTTCTGTAATGAACTCACTGCACCACGATCAAATATCTTCAAAGTTTTGTTAAAACAATTTAAAAACTGATCCTTGTTCAGACTCTCCGGGCAACTTCCTCCTATCCTCGGCGTCCATTAGACGTCATAGCTCCCGTTTGCATTTGCTTAACCATTTTGTGTCCCCTTTTTTTTTGGCTGAAATTCAACCAGGGACGCAAAATGGCTCAAGTCAAACCAACCCTTCTAGTCTCAGTGAATACTTGGCGCCGAACGGTCGTTGGTCATCGCCCTCTTGAGCCTGACGCCTCGTCGGATAGCCACCAGGAAGTCCTCCACCTCGCCATATTCTGTCTCCTCCAGGAGCTCCGGGAGAGGCTGGCGCTCCCACTCTGACACCCGGCCACTGGGCTGCGGTGGCGGGGTGGGAGGATCCGACCCCTCGCCCTGGTGCTGGGTCTCCCAGGTGCCGGCCCTCTGTGATAATGGCCCGCTGTTGCCTGGTGACAAAGGGGTGGTCGGTGGGCTGAGCAGGGTTCGCTGTGCGTTGCCATCCTCTGACACCGCCCTGCTGGGGAAACTGGGATGTTCAGGCACAGTGGGGGTCTTGACTGGGATCATGGGGGGCTTGATGGGGATGGGGCCCAAGCTAAGGCCCCCAGAGGGCCGTCGCAGGTTGGGTTTGGAGGATGGTGTCCGTCGGATGGTGGCGACTCCCGGGGTGATTATGGCAGAGGGGTTGGAGGGCAACCCAGCAGTGGAGGCGGGACGCTTGGACTGGAACATACGGCGGTACGACTGACTGATGTCGCTGTTTCTGGGGATGGTGCAGGATTTATCGAAGTCTGAGGACTGCTGCGGCTCGCCTTCCTGATCCGCCCCCACAGAGTAGTAGTCACAGTCGGATACTGTTAGGAACAGAACAGTTTTATCACCCAGTTCTTCAGCACAACAACACATCAAACAGCGCGTCTACACAGGAGGCGTTCCAGTCCTTCGTGTCTGACAGAACAGATATGCTTTTATTTGAATCAATATAGCTGTCTACACAGGGCTCATAACAACTTGAAGCATATTTATACTCTTTTCTTCTGTTTTGTGCCTGTAACTACAGTGATTATGTGTTGGGCTCCGAGCGCTGCCAAAACACAGGGAACCTAAACTCATCCCCTGAATGCCTAGAATATAAGAGGATATCTGATCAGTTAATCACAGTCTAACGTGCCTTCTTCTTATTTGTTCCTATAATTCTGTGTCTTCTTCTCCCTGATGCTTTGCCATTGTTCCATTAGCTCCTTGTTTGTTTTAACTGTGTACTTTAATTTTTTTCCAGCTCTTCTAAATCAAGGAGGCCCATGAAGCTTTGGTGACCCAGAGGTTGGGAAACAGTTATGTTATTAATTCTATGAATCTTTATATAAAAGTATATTATAAAACATTTTTGATTTGTGTGTGTGTGTGTGTGTGTGTGTGTGTGTGTGTGTGTGTGTGTGTGTGTACACTCTGTGAGTGTGTGTTGTTGTACACCCTTTTGTGGAGTGTGTGTGTGTACACCCTGTGAGTGTGTGTACCCTGTGAGGGGATGGTGTCCTCGGAGCAGCAGGGTGTGTTGGTCTGGCTGCTGTAGCCGCTGGAGCCCTGCAGTGAGTCTCTGCTGGAGCCGTGGATGTCCAGCTGGAGGCCTCGGGCCAGCGCTCTGGCCAACTCCTCGTGGGCCTCCCTGTCCTCCTGCAGGGGTCAACGCACACACGCACACACATGACCAAAAGCTCTATCCAATTTAAACGCTGCCAGTAAGTCACATGACAATGTTGTCTGGCTTTCAATGGTCAGCGTGCACTGAAATCAACCAAATATAAAATCTGACCTTGTGTGAGGTCACATGGTGGCTTCCTTTAACCCCTTGTGGTTCCTCCCCTGGTGTGGTGATGTCAGCGCCCTGGTGGCTGCTGGGATCTGTAGTGTCTCTCCTGTCCTTGCTCCTCTTCAGGGTGTTGACCATTGACTGGTCATATGGGCCCGGTTTGGCCCAGTCCTGCACAGACATCATCCAAACAACGCAGCATCACACTCTGCTGCTTTTCTCAGTTACAGATCACTAGAAATTCTTTTTGACTGTTTGGTTTTGTAACTTTTGATGGGAATTTGTCATTAATTGTAACAATTTTTTAAAGAAATAATGAAAGACAGAATTAAAAAAACATAACACAGTTTAGGTTAATGTAGAAAACCAAGATTTTCACTACTGATTAATTAGTTATTTAGATGATTACATTCCTTTATTTTATAGAAATATCCCAAATTGGTACAGTATTGCCCAATTTTGATTCTAGGATTTCATACTGTATTAGTGTATACACAAGTATTTATTTTCGAACAATATCCATAACAGAACTAAGAACACTTTTGCATTTTGAAGCTGTACTCAGCAAATATTTGGGATTTTCTGGGCGTAGTAGCTTGTCAAATGAGGATTCAATTAATTTTCTGTCAGTTCAAAAATCTGACCACAAGTTTTTAATCAATTCTGAAATTTAAGCCAATAATGAAGGGCAGTGTTAACACTGGGTGAGAGAGAGGCAAGATTTGTGTCTGCAGTGTTGTTAGTGTTGTTTTAAGGTCTGACTGTGTGAATGAAGAGGCTGACAGTCAGATGATCTTGTAGTTTTTGTTTTCAAAGTGAGCAAAGAAAGAAAACACAATTAAAAAGGAGAGAAACACTGCAAGCAAAGGATGAAAGGACAGAAACATATCAAAAGAAAAGGGGAAAAGAGTGGAAGATGAAAGAAGGATAAAAAGAAGTGGAGGAGGAGGACGACATCGGGGAGGAGGAGGATCAAACCTTCCAGGACGGGACTCTGGATGACGGGATCACTCCGAGCCCCGTGGGGCTGCCGAGAGGCAGGAAGTCCCCTGACTGGCCGGAGCCTGAGCGAGACCACGGCCACGTGGGAGAAACGGACGAATAGGAGGGCGAGGAGATGGGAGAGGTGGTGGTGGAGGAGGAGGAGTAGGTGAAGTATGGAGGGTGGAGGTGGGTGTCCTGGGCCTGCAGTACCATTCCGTGCAGACAGAGGGCAGCGTGATGGTCAAAACCATTTGACAACTGAAGGTGAGTGAATGAGAAAAACAATTCAGAAATTAAAGATGGCGGTTGTGATGAAAACATAATGCACAGGAGTGGAAGTGGAGGCGCAACATGTAGCAGGAGGAGCTCAGCGACATTTTACAGATACGAATACGTGTAAAGTGATTGATTTTATGCCGGCCTCTGCTAGGGTTGGGTTCTGGTAGGCGGGATCTGAGTTTCCCCAATGATCTGTGTTTCATCTCTCCTCTGACTCTAAAACAGGAAGAGGATGACAACAAAGCGCTGATGCTTCAAAGCTCCATGTGGCTCCTTCACAACACAAACAACAACAGCAGACCAGAGTGTGTGAGGCTGGCTCCACTGAGCCCAAGAAACCCTTATGGACGCGTGTGTTTGGACGTGCAGATGTTCACCTGTTGTAGCCCAGAGCGGGGCTCGTTGTGTGAGGGTGAGGAAGAGGAGGAAGAGGAAGACTCCTCATTGACAGACTGAGAGGATAAAGGAGAGACACACGACTGCAGCAGAGCCATGCAGAGCGCGCACGCACAAAAAGAGGAAGCCATTGGCAGGATGTGAGAAAACAGACAAAAAGAGAGAAACAGTAGGCGTGTTATGTGTTAGTGATTAAAACATGATCTCAGTGTGAATAAAAGCAGCATCGTTGACCAGGCAGAGGCATTAGTAAGGAAAGGCATGAACAACAAACAGAGGAAGAAGAAGCCGTTGCAGCAGAAAGAAGAGATCAATGAAGCAGAAGCAGGTTCAGCAGGTGGAATGAGAAACGGTTGTCTCCAAAGTGCTCTACATCATAAACAATATACAGAATATCTGTAACAGTATCATCATTCAGTCGAGTTGTAATATGCTATAAATTATAATTAACTGTAGTTCTAACTTTAATTATGTCTCAATAAAGAGAAACTAAATAAAAGCCCAATCAGATTTTCTCTGTTTTTGTTATTTTGTGGAAATTGTTGGTTTGCAGAAGATAACACATGAGATGTTAGTGTTAGACTAGAGTTTAGGGTTAGAGTTAGACCAGGGTGTTGGTTAAGGGTTGGAGTTGGGCATGTAGTTGATAAATATGGTAAATCTCCAGTGAACGAAGGCAGGGTACTGTGATGTCCGTCCAAGTGTGTGTGAGGATCAATTTTAAAGTTAAGACATTTGGCAGATTTAGGACTAGGTTCTAGGATTCAGGTTTGGGTTACAGCCTGGGGGGTGCATAATGTCAATGAGAGTCCTCACAAGCATGTAAGTAGCCTCACGTGTGTGATCCTTCACAGGATTTGAGCACATCTTCCACCCTGGATTTATTTAACGAATGAATGAATATTTCTCATATCTCAGAACCGGGACAACTCTTGAATGTACACCTCGCCTACAGTATGTGCGGCTAATTTCCAACGGCTAATGGGTAAAATAGTTAGCATAACTAAAACTAAACTAAATTAAACTTTCTCCTTGATCCTTCATTGGTTTTCTGGCAATAAGTCTATTGCCAGAAAACCAATAGTCCTTTTTCACAGCATCCATTTCTACATGAAACAGTAAGGTAAACACAGGTGTTACCAACTTATTAAGGTTCCATTCAATTTAGTGTAGCAGAGCCTTTTCCAGTTCCTACATGCACAATAGCAGCACCCTGACTGTTACACCTGAATGGAACAGAACCTTAATTAGTGTCACTGATAACGCCCAAGTTTACCCTATTATTTTATGTCAAAATGGCTGCTGCGAAAAAGGTCTATTGATTATTTCATTCTTTTTTTAAAAGCAAAAAGTACATTTTCTGGTTCCAACTTCTGCAATGTGAGGATTTTTTTTCTTTGTTGTATATTGTTGTTAACTGAATATCTAAGGGGGTTTTGGACTGTCGGTCGCACAAAACAGGATGTGGCCAAGGACTCTGGGAAATGAAAGGATTGATTTTTTTAGATTGACCAATTCATGGACATAATTGTTAGTTCTAGCTCTGATTTGGGTGACCCTGTGTTTTCTCGCTGTGTCCCCACTCTGCCCCTGAACTACAGTGAAGGAAACCCTGCGGGGAATAAGCGAGGGTATGTCGCATGGCTGCATTAGACCTTGTGGCAGCAGAGGTGACTCAGCAAACACACACACACACACACACAGCAGCTTCGAGCTAATGAACGCACAGTATCCAAGCAACCTGAGGGATTGTCTGACCTCAGTGGTGGAAGAAGAGTGGATCAGAGTAACAGAGAGGAAGAGTGTGTGCACATTGTGTGTCAGTCAGCCGATAACTTCAAACACAGTTCTGGTGTTCTCCCTGAGCTCAGTCTCTGCTCATGCTCCTTACCTGCGAGGTTTCCGGAGGCATCGGTGAAGGGGATTTGGACTGGAAGGCATCCTGGGAGATGAAGCCAGAGTCGTGGGAGGAGACTGAGGAGAGACGGGCCGGCGTCTGCTGGGGGAGCACCGAGGAGGAAGAGGAGGAGGAGGCACGGTAACGGAAATGGGAGGTTGGGGAGTGGCAGTGTGAGCCGCTGGAGCGAGAGTCGCTGCTGTTCACACTGTTCAGGCTGCTGTGGGATGCAGAGAGGAGGAGAGGGCTCAGTTCAAGGTACAAAACGTCGGAGTGGACTCATTTTTATCTGTTCTGGTTTTTAGAGATTGGTCTCTGAGA